TCAATTGAGATATGTTCTTCCTTGTTTCTGATTTATATGCAATGTACAGAATTATCAATCCAATTTTTGGGATTGATATTTCATATTTGTTCTACTATCCTTGGAAGGTCGGTTTCTAGAAGATTCAATTTGTTGTTTTATCAAATTTTAGGACATTGTGTAAAGTGTCTCTTCAACACTAATTGATTCTTCAGAGAACACGTTTTAAATGTCTAATTGTTTTAAAATCACTCATTCTCAACTTTATTCAATAAGTTTAGTCAAGCTGTTCTTACTATATATGTAAATATTAAAAGGAAAAAAGGTCATCCTACATGTTGAATAAAAGTACTACCTAATTTGGCCAACACCAAGTAGGTTGTCCAATTTAACTATTTAAAGTAGAAAATCTCTAAACAAATTCATTAACTAATGAAGTGTACATTGTTAGAAACTATGGTAAATAAGCTCAAAGGTGTCTGATTAAAGATTGAAAATGGGGGCTCATGGTTTAATGCGGGCTGAGATTGAAGGGTCTTTCTACATGTTTCCTTTTTTAACATGTCTTCCTGTCTGCAAATGACCTTAATATTTATTTATTTTCATATTTTGATCATAGCTTCTGTGTGCATAGGTGGGTAAGGGACTATTGTGGTCCAGTGCATGTGTGCATGTTTTGATATTGAAATTCTGGATTTACTAAAATATTCAATGATCCCATTCTTATACATAATTCATACTTACACAATAGTGCTTGTTTGATGAATTAGAATTGTTTGCTTCTGACATCTTACTTTGACGTAGTTATGATTTCTATATTCCTTTTGAATATTTCACTAATGTTGGCTGATGCTTGTGGATTTCAGCTTTTCACAACTATCACTGTCAATGAACCTGCTCCTGGTCTGAAGACTATCTTTAGCTTCAAGGTTCCTGACCAAAGGTCTGGAAAGGTAAGATAGTCAACCATTTTGCTTAACCAGCTTTCAAAATCTAAAGGAAATTCAGAAGCAACCTCATTAAAATTGTCTAAAACCTTGAACTATTGCATTGCATCCTATTCCTTCATCGCAGTAATTTGTATTGTCTGTATAATGTAACAGGTGGAACTTCAGTACTTGCATGAGTATGCTGGAATTAGCACCAGTGTTGGGTTGACAGCAAACCCAATTGTCAACTTCTCTGGTGTTATAGGAACTAATGTTCTTGCTCTTGGTGCTGACCTTTCTTATGACTCCAAAAGTGGGGAGTTAACAAAATCCAATGCTGGACTGAGCTTCACCAAAGATGATTTGATTGCCTCATTGACTCTGTGAGTAATTGTTGCTCCTCTTGGTGTGTTTTTAGTTAACAGTATGCATCTAGAAAAAAAATGTATTGTCTACATGTAGATGCTGATGGATAGTATGAGTTTACATGTTTTGTGAAATGATGAGTTCTTGTATGCAGGAATGACAAAGGTGATGCTCTGAATGCTGCATACTACCATGTAGTTAACCCCGTGACCAACACTGCTGTTGGTGCTGAGGTGACTCACAGATTCTCAACTAATGAGAACACTCTCACCCTTGGAACCCAACATGCATTGGATCCATTGACCACATTGAAGGCACGTGTCAACAATTTTGGCAAGACGAGTGCTCTCATCCAGCACGAGTGGCGTCCCAAATCATTCTTTACCATTTCTGGTGAGGTAGACACCAAGGCCATTGAAAAGAGTGCCAAGGTTGGGTTGAGTTTGGTTCTCAAACCCTAAGAATTTTGATGCATCCAGGCAAGAGCATTGAGGTAGGTGTTAGGAAGCAGACTAAATTATTTCCTTGAAGTCGGTTCTCTTCTTTGGGTAAAGAAGTGTTCATGGTGTTTTCGTTGCTGCATTTGAGCAATTCAACCTTGTAAAAATAAATAGGTTTTCTATAAACCAAATGTGACTCTTAAATGCCCCCAAGCTCAGCAAGCCTCTTTTGTGGAATGAGGATTGGCACTCTTTGAGGTTTTGACATGCGAAATTTTATATCTTCTGATTTGTTGGATATTTTCTGCGATATTCCCTTACATTTTATCTGATGCTATCAGTGTTAAATACTTGGCTTTCAGATGCTTGGGTTAGATCTTGATATTTATGTTTTATTCCTGTCAAATCTGTTTTCCACCCTGTATTCCTTTTTTGCCATGTTTTTTAGGCAATGTTGGTGTGGGGACATGTCAACGGTTTTAATGTTTGTTTGCTTTTAAAGTTCAATTGAATTGATTTTGATAGAATTAAATGCTGTCCATCCAACATAATTGGAATGTGTCTGAACTAACTTCAGCCGCAGATTTTTTTGATTAAATGCATGTCGCATGAGAAATTGATCTAGTGTAAAACATAACTTGATTCCTCGTGTGAAACACGGGTACAGTACAGTTTGAGGAAACCACTAAATGTTCTTAGTGTCTTATTTTTACCTGCTCTTGGTTGAGGCAATCGTGTTACGAGTATTAACATGCCTTTTGATCGAGCTAAGCAATTTATTTCAAAAAATAAAAAATTGGAGCCCTTAAAACTACAGTTCAAGGGAATTTCTTCAATTTATCAAGGCAGCAAATAATTTGCTTTTGATTGGGCCCTTAAAACTACAGCCTATTTTCAATTTAATATTTTTTAAGAGAAATTTAAACGAGATCAAACATTTTTATTTTAATGTCAGCTAGTCTTCGTGAATGCTACATTGAAAATATTAAAGACGTACTTCTTCAGAATGGGGCTCATGGCCAAGGGAAGTTCCTTTAGATTTGGGAGGAAGCTAGCTTGCTTTCTAGTTTCTGGGTTTGACATGAAAATATACTCTTGTACTCCTCTATTCTCTTTTACAAATAAATAAAATAAATTTGATTTTAGGAATTAAATTTTCTTTTATTACATTAATCTTTCTAAATTGTCAGTCAAAGATTTTTTTTTTTGTAACAAGAGCTCAAAAAAAGAACCAAAAGAGACTATACCCTCAAAAGGGAAAGATTAAA